GCTGTGGGGGGGGCGTGGGAGGCCTGAAAAAGCAAAACCGGGATGGCCTTTTCTGGGGGTCCAGAGGGGGGGGGTGTGAAATGATGATACTTGATGTGCAATACTCGCAGTATGACTGATTTTGACTGCGATGATGGTGGATTTGATGCTGATACCGGCGATGAACAAGAATTGGATGTATTGCAACAGAAGAAGTTCCGTCTGCCATACTCTTTAGGAGAAGAGGTTATGATGAAGAAGATCATCAACAGTGACGATGACCATGATGATGATGATGATGATGATAGCAATGAGCATGCTGCATGCATGCATCAGTCCAATGAACGCATCTATGGACATGAGACACGCATTGTGCGAAAGTGCATGCCGCTGTGCAGGGGCATACATATATATATATATGTATATATATATATATATTTGATATGCTACATGCATCTTCACCGAACATGTATGTGTCTCGTACAAGCATGGTGCGTTTGTATACAAGACATGTGGGTGGAAGTGCGGGAATGGTACCTAAATAGGGGGACCTCACCCCATTGTAGACCCCCAAAACTATAGTTCTTATTCTAGTTACCCCCAAAAAATTACCCTTAATTTCGGAAAATTCTAGACCATGACTAAGCCCTTAGCCCTAAATCTTATGTATCCCCTCCCTATAACCCCTATAACCCCCGCAAAAGGACTCGTGTAGCCCACCACAACAGCCAGGTTCTTTGCCCAATGCCTTGCCGACACCAGAGACGCCTCGGAAGCCGGAGGTTCCAAAGCCATCCAAGTCTGTCGAGGTGCAACCTGATTTTTTGATGCTCATCAGGATTGCGGGTGATTTCCTGGGTATCATGAGAAAGGAGAGTTTGGCTTTCATGAGTATATGGTACAGTATGTTGGCGTCTCTACCGGGAGCCAGTTCTTATCCAGTCTGTCAAAAACACGAAGCTGGATGCACCTTCTGCTTGTTTGGAAGGATACAGATAAGTGGGCTTACGAGACTGACTCAGAAGCGAAACCCCACTCTGTCCATCACTAGCCATGTGCAGGGAGGGCTTCGAGCAGGATGCCGTTCAGTATAGCATGAGGTTGGCGCTTGGTGCATGTATGAATGTTGGAGGCAAGAGGGACAGATGTTGTGTGACTCGCTCGGCGATGCAGTTCACCCTTCATGCTGTCCCACCTGCCAAACACAGCTCAATGCATCATATGCAAGCAGTAAGAGGCATGGGTGTAGTTTTGGAGAGAGAGGAAGATGCGAAGCATGATCAGATATGCAGTGTCCAGGTGCAGGCCGCTACTTGACCGCGATTGGGTAATAAGCTAGCCGTTATTCTGCAGTTCAGACTTGGGTTTTTGACATCGATAGAGCTTTCTGCTGAAGCCGCTGCTTCATCTGGACATTTCTGCGAGGCTCGTTTTGAAGGCTGTTTAGCAGGGTTCAGGTGACCAGTGGCATTCCTCAGCCTGAACGTTTTTTCACACAGTCTCCACGCCACATCTACTGCACACTCCGCAGCATACGAGGCCTTTTTTTTGTGAAAGGTGACCGTTATGGGTTGTGCAACGAGAGTTTTGGGGTTTTCCAGGTTCCAGGAGTTCTGGCCGAGCAGATGGGTTTTGCCTCTTGCCCTTAGTTGCAACAGTGCCTAGGAATTGGCAAGCCGAGACTTCACCCGAGAGCAGATCCAGCTTCAGGAGCTTTGACTCCTACAATGACAGGGTGTCTTATGCTGAGCTTTGAGTTACATATCTTATCTGGTTGATGTAAGCAGGACTTCCGCTCGAAGATTCAGGCTTGGAAACCTGCAGTTCTCTTGGGTGCGAGCATTGCCTCATCCAGTGCGTCTGCTGACTACCAGACCAGGGCGCGCGGCAGCTCCTCCCTGAGTTGCGGGCCCGGCGACGTGATCTAGATTCGGCTGTGCAGGCGCTATGAGCGAATGTTGTCAGGTTTGTTTTTAGAGCGTCTGTGCCTGGCATACCTGTGCCATGTCTGGCCAGGCCATAGAGGCACGTTCTGGTGAGCTGCGCCAGCGCTGCGCGGAGGCACCGCTGTGTGCTCGCTTGATGGTGGAAGACCATTTTAGATTCCACGTCAGCGATCTCGGGTGGCCGGTGCCCCAGCCCATGCCCTCAAAGGTCATCCTCCAGTGAATACATTTCAAGCTTTGAGCACTAGTTTCTGATTACACGACAAGCATGAATGGAGGTGTCATTGACCGAGCTGAGACGATCTGTACAACGTATGATGGGATCTAGCCGTGCTTGGTGTTAACGAGATGCCGTTAGACCTTGCCATGTCTTTAGTGTTGTTGTTAGAAACTCTCTCCTGCAATTGTTGTGAGACCACCTTCGCGGAGTGGCATGGATCTCTGCTTTTGCGCAGGCTGAGCGCGAAGCCCTCGAAGACTTCGAGGCTGCGAAGCGCATTTTGCCACTGTAGAATTGGAGTCGCGTTGCGCTCAGCAAGCCTTTGAAACTCTGCAGAAAACTTGAAGTGTGTTTTGCATGACTGACAGGAGGCAGCACGTCTAGCAGCATAGGTCCAGGTAGTTTGTGCTGCAGAATTTGGTACTGTTTATGCCGCGGTGCCTGCAGCTTTCGGACGAGTTTGCTATAGTGCTCGGCCGCTGGCGAATGTCTTTTGTCTTGGCAAAGAAGACTCGCGAGACTCAAAAACGCATGAGCCATCTGCCACGCGGATTGCTTCTGACATGCTTCGGGAGAGGTGCTGCGAAGTCATCTGAACTCCGTTGAGAGCCTCAAGCAGGTGGGAATGTGCCTGCCACCATGGCAGACATCGCTCATGGCATTCTAGACGCTTGTGTTGTGATAGCTTGTTCCTTCTTCAGGCAGTGCTCAGCCGCGAGCGCGATGTACGCTTACGTCTGGCTGGACAGATCGAGGAATTTTGTCAGCGCCTTCTACAGGCCGGTTTTCAGAGCTCCTGTGAGTGGTTTCCTGGAGCCTTCAACTTTGGCCAGGCTGATGGCAGCAACTCTAGTGCTGCAGTGTCTCAGCAGCAACTTGATCTCAAAGGCAACCTGGCTTGTCAAGAAGGACCCTGCAGAAACAGGACTATGTGCTGGATAGTTGCCATTTTGCCGCCCAAGCCTGGGATTCCCTCAACCTCAAAGTATCATCCAAGCATAGCCCGAATGGTTTGCTGGAGAAGGGCTTCGGTAAGCTGAAAGCTTTTCCTTGAGTCTTGGAACAGACGTTGTGTGGCTCTGGTTGCTGCTATTCCGTCTTCTGGGAAGTGATTGGTACCACGCCTAGCACAGAGTGGCATTGCAAGGCTGCTTTTCGCGCAGAATTCCCCGACCTGCAAGCAGCCGCAGACACTATGTGCTCTCGAGCCTGTTCCTTGCCGCAGGCAGCAAGCGTATCACGTCATGGTATGTCATGAGTCCGGTCTTTTGATGCATGATGCTCAAGCCCGCTGCATTCGGGGAGGTGGACGTGCCTATTGATGACGTGCCTTTCGAAGCGCGAGTGCGTTCAGAAAAGCTTCGGAGGCACAACGATTTCACTCATAACGGTGTAACTCTTAAGACGATGAGCTTTCTGACGGCATCCTGATTGCACAAACTTACGTCCAGGGAGCCAGCCGCGAGAGAGAGTGGCTAGAATTATGCGATGACAGGTATGTTGTGGCGGAGCGGCTGCTGCGGGCCAAAGACATGTCTCTTTGGCGCCTGGAGCAGCCGTGTCCTCAGCCAGTTAGCGACGTGACATGCGCACGTACGCTTGATTCGTCTGTGGCCTTCACTGGCTCAAGTTCTCGCGCATGGTTACCTCGAAGCAGAAGCAAGTTTTTCAATCCCACATGGATCCGCATAGGCCATAGAATCGGCTCAGGTTTGAATGTGTTTTGCCAGTCAGCATAACGATTTGTAGCTGACGAGTGCTTGCACCATGCATGCGTATGGTGCCGACGTGCGATGGCCGAGCAAGCTCTGGAGGTCCGGGCTGTAGTGTGGCTGAAGGACAGGTGGCTTCATGTGGATTTCCCAAGACTAGCAAAGTCTGAGGTTGTGATAGAAAAAGCTAGCAGCTAGTGGTACTAGTGGAATCTGACATAGTCATACCAACATGCTTGACTGCAGGGAGGGTTCGTGATCTGACAGCTCTGCTGATCAACTAATGCTGATCACTAGGCCCTCTCTGAGCTGCTTGCAGCCTGACCCTCAGAGCAGCAGAGCAGCCTCGACGTCGAGTGGTTCGCTGAACTGGCTGGCACCTGGCAAAGGAGCGCTTTGGCTCACGGTCGTGGTCCTCACTGCGGCAGTGGCTCAGCAAGTACTGGGTAGTCACTCAGCTCAAGTTCTTAGCTACAGAGAGTTTAACGTGTTGCTTGAACACTACAAGCACTGAATGTTCTTGCGGGTTGCGGTCGCTGCTTTTGGCCCACTGGATGGGTTTGGCAGGTTCGATGTGTCTTTGTCCCACCGCATGTCCCGAGGTGGAAGCTGAGAGTCGATGACGAAGGAGGCACTATCTTCTTTCCTTGAATGCAAGTAGGTCCACTGGTGCCTGGGCTGGTGCCTGCTTGGAGGTGCCGGGTTAAAGCTTGCAGCCACCAACTTCGGCTACCTCATCGAGGCCAGCCCTTGGACCCAGCATCGCCAAAACATTTACACAAGTAAAAGCTGCTCAAGATCAAGGGTGCGGCCTGCTTTGAGGCCCCCAGGCCCTTTCACAGAAGCGCGCCGATGCATGCCACTGATCGCAGGCAATCGCGGACACACCAGGTCAGGGCAATATGCAGCCCGGAGAAGTGCCTCATTTCAAAGAAGATGCTGCCGTCCGAAGCCAATGCAGCTGGTTCGTTTGTGACTACCAGTACATTTTTCGGCAGAAGAGCCCTCATCACTTTTTGCTCGCTTCAGTTGCGTCGGATGAGAGCAAAGGTGATCGTGTCCATCGGAGGCCAGCCTTTGCTGGACATGAGCCGCTCACATGAACTTGTCGGCCAGTGTATACCTACTTGTTACAAACTACTTCATCTTCTGTGTGAGCTAGGCCATTGACAGGTGTCTCAACTATGCATGCTCGTGGGATATCAGTACGCGTCATCTTTTCACGCCTCACTGTGCACTGGTACCCGCCACTGCTAAGTGACCTGGATGTGCTTTGCCTGCTGACTTGCATTGCGTCTGGTGGTTTCAGACAGAGTGGTGTTGCGGTGCCAGAGTCCTCACTGGCAGCAAGCGGAATCAGCCAGGTAGTTGCGCTTGTTTCCACTTGAGGTCAGGAAGAGCTTTCTGCAGCCTTTGACTGTCGCAGAGCTGACGGTGCTCGCCTCCTATTGATCGAGATGTCCGAACTGCAAGAGGCAAGGTCAGGGTTTGTTATCTGCATGTCTGCTGGGGGTGCCTCCTGTGTCTCCAGCACTTTACATCATCTTGCAGGCGGAGAACAGCATGAATGCAGTGGAGATGCTGCAAGTGCCTGTGGAGAGTGGCTTGCCGGAACACGCTATGTTACTATAATGCACATCTATGTTGGCTTCGTTCAAACTTTTGTTTTTGTTGATTCTTCAGCTTGGCTTGTTTTTGAATTGCACTTTCAGGCAAGCCACTTTATCATGAGCCGCTCGTCAAGCCGAAGCAAATTCCTTTCCGCTGCAGTTCAGCTGCCTCCGGATGCACGTTCCAGCCTTGAGAATGTCCGGCACCCAGCTGGGAAGACGAGGTTTGCATCACTGGCAACCAATGGTATGGGCAGGCAACATAGCTGTGTAGTTCATGAGCAAGATCTCAGGACCTTGCTCAGATGAGCTCCTGGTTCGGCGTCCATGCAGAGTTGGTTCCTTGTGGTGCCAACCTGGAGGTCCACCTTCAGGGTGCAGCAGAGAGCATTGCAAGTGCCAGACAAGAGTTGCAAATGATATTGCAACACTACGCTGCCGGGCCATCCCACTGAGCAGCTTCAAGATTACGAGTACAGACAAGATGTCCAGCTGCGCTTGCAAAGAAGGTGCGAGAACAGCTTTTGGCATGCGTATCCAGATTGTTGCATATCCGCGCTCCCGGCGTGCGACCGAGGCAAAGAAGACAGCTGATTGCAGAGACTACTGAGGGAGCAGAGTGGATCAGGTCGCTCGAACCTGATTGGGAAGATGCCTTGACCAGAAAACTAGTATGGCTTTTTGTCTCTAGACTTCAGCATGCCAGGCATTTGGGATCTATGCTGGACCGCTATGCGGAGACCCGAGCAGCTAGGGGGTGCAAGTGATACGCGATGCCTGACCCTTCTTCAAGATTTGTGCCTGCATGTCTGGCTTTATATTGACCAGTCTGCAGATGAAAGTATCGAACACCAATCCCGTGCCTGACCACCACGATTAAACAAGCTGCAAAGCAGGAGGAGCTTGGTTACGTCTGCTATTTCTGTTCGGAGCGGCTTCTTGGTTGATTCATTGCTGGCCATGGTGTACACTGCGCACTTAGTAGTACCTCAAACGGGAGTTTCCACAAACAGGGGCCCCAATATAGAGCACAATATAGTAATCCTCGTTGTGGAAGTCCCCCAAATCCTTGCGCCCAGGTTTTCCGCTGCGGCCGCAAACAGCCGATGCTGGAGTCTCAGCCGCGAGGGGGAAACAACTTTCACTATTATTCCTATTATTTCTATTGTTACTAGCATTATCAGTTGTATATTACTATTATGATTATTGGTACTATTACTTGTATTAGTATTATTACTACTATTATTACTCGGGTCCCTAAAGTATGCTCATTTGTTGCAGGTGCTTGGAACCAAGCCACCTCGCCCTCTGGCCGTGCACTCTCACCGGACAGAAGGGTCCCGCAGCAGCTCTGGGGTGGAGGACCGGTCTTTGGAAAATGTCGCAGTTTTGAAGCATGAAGCGGTGCAGGAGCGCACTTCTGGGTGCCGTTGCCAGCTCCTGTGAGTGCTGCAGCAGCAGCAGCTCTTGCAAGCTGCGGACCAGGCAAAGTGTAGCTGCAGACCTGGCAGCGAAATTATATCAGCAATCTCGCCAGATCATCGTGACCCCCGTGACCTGCGAGAGCCGTGGGTCAATTGGCAGGAGACCCCTACTGCGAAAGCCCACCATGTGGCCCAGCTGCCCTTCGTTGGTTTGAATCAGGCGCCACCGCCACCGCCACCACTGTGGGCTGATCCCTTGGAGGCAAGTGCACCGCTATCATGGCCATGCTCTATGCCAGACCAATTTTGGCATTGGTCAGGGATATGCACCGCAGCCTCCACAGGCAGTGCTGAAGACTGCTGGAGGGAGTTTGTTGTGACATCATCGCATCCCAACCTTCCGCGGGACCCTGGGTCTCACAGCACGTGTTCGATATGGTGCTGCTGGAGGTGAGTTCAGCCAGCTCACGGGCAGCCTCCCCATCCATCACAAGGTCGGAGCATGTTCTGCTGAATACTTGTATTTTAGATTTCCGGAGGCATGGAGGGCCGGCCTTTTCAGGGCCCGCTGCGCCAAGGCTTGCAGAGTGTTTCAGCTCCGGCTTTGTAGGTGCCTAGAATCGGCCTCATCAATCTGGACGGGTGGCACCGTTTCTTGCATGTTGACCGTGGGTTTACTGTTTGCATGCGGAGGCGTGACCTAGCGGCATTTGGCCAAGGAGGACGAAGACATAGAAATACAGAGTTTTCGTAAGCCCTCCAATATCAGACTTGGCAGTATTTTTTTAGTAGTTTTGTGAGGACCTGGAGACATCCCTGTGCCACCGCCCAGTCTTGAACTAAGTTCGAGTGTTGGTTGCACAGCTGATGACCCATCAAAGACGTCGCTCGGCATCCTCCTGGAAGGGTTGCGGTTTTTCTCTGCAGGCCGTGGCCCGGCTGCCTTCACTGAGCGCCGCTGCGGTGGGGGCGGGCCGCTCCCCGTTGTTGAGGCATAGGAATCACTTGCTTCAGGCAGACTCACCCTGGATGATCCGTGGGATGGGATGCATCATCAGGCACGCGAAATTGATTCGCGCCCTATTCTGCGTGGGCGAGAGGAAGCTGATGGCTTCTCATTGCTCTGAAGCGGCGCCACGCGTTTCATGTGGAGTAGCTTTAGGAATTTTAGGAGTGTGTCACCTTTCACAGCCCACCTTGTACAGGGTGCTGTGTGGTTGGTGACATACTTCAACAGCCAATATGTGGGATGAGCACGAGTCCGTGTGCAGCTTGCTAGCCTCCTTCAGACTACATTTGGATGCAGCGGTAACCGCTCCTTATACTTCCCACAGGCCTGTTCTGAGCCTTGCAAGCTTGGGGCTGATCTTGGCTACCGCGAAGCTGTTCTCAGACGGGGTACCCATCGACAGCATTGCTGTCTGCACGGCTTGGTGTGGGGTGATTGACACCAGAAAATGCACACACCTATCTGAGCGTGCAAGATTGTGCAAGCTTGTCAGACGCAGGCATGCGCAACATGCCCCTGCACGTTGCTAATTGGCAAGACTGTTTCACACTTGATCACATGCAGAGCTCATTTCTGGCTTTGGGCTCTTGCAAGCAGATGTCAGAGTCATCTTTTTGGTGGAGGTTTTGCAGAATCGCGGAATCTCAAGAGATTAAGCCAACATCTTGTATGTACACTGCTGGGCTTATGCAGCAGGCAAGCAAACCATATTTCGCATTTGGGCTGCCATGCGCAAAGCTAGCAAGGCGTCCGCCTCCACCAAGGCGAGATAGAGTAAATCTGCTCCAGTGCACAGTTCTTACAACTACTAAGATGGCAAGTGCATGATCCTGCACGTAGAAGGAGCCATTCAGCGGATGAAGTGTTGTGCAGGCATCCATGATTCCTGCAGTGATGCGGAATGATCCATGCCTGGCGGTGCCTCGGATCACAAACAAAAATGTGTCGAGGAGTGACTGTCTGAGACATTGTCTTGGAGGCACGTCCAGAGATGCGGCGGTCCATGGAAGACTGGCTCGAGCCGTGGAGTATGCCAGAAGGCAGGATGCATTTGGCTACAAGTTTTGGCAGCTGAGGTGGGGCGGCTCTTTGTGGGATCCACGTGATCCAGCGCCAGCATCTTGGGACCCAGTACATGGCCTGCTGCGCAAGGAAGATCATCGTGTCGTAGTGGCGGCACGCCTGCAGCATATCTTGTAAAAAGCATTGGGGCTATGTTGTTGCAGGAGACTTTGAGGCTTATTCCGAGAAAAGCTACACACAGGTAACACACACAGCTTTTGGTCTGCTGCGGCCCTTCCAGGCAACCGTGTTTCCCCTTGCTGTTCTCAGAGTAGGAGTGACGAAGTGGCATTGAACTTCCCCTTAGCAAGGCCGCTGCCGACAGTTGAGCATGAATCAGGCACTCCTCCGCAAAGCTTGCCTTTATCCACTGTCTGTACCAAGGTCTGGAAAGTTTTTTGGCACAGACTTCACTTGCGGATCAAGCATGCGTGACGTGCAAGAAGCCAAGGAACAACCTGTCTTGGAATTGGCTGCTATTATTACTATTATTGCTATTACTACTATTTTACTATTATTCCTATTATTTACTATTATTACTACCATTATTTATTGTTTCTACTTTTAGTATTACTGTTATTGTTGCTACTACTGTTACTATTATTATTGTTATTACCTCTACCATCTGGATCCCGTCGTCTCAAGGCTGGCTGCGCTGCGACTGTCTGACGGTGAGAGCGAGCGGCTAGCCTTGGCTGTAGCGAGCCAAGCCTTTCATTCTCCCAAGTAACCCCAAGCGTTTAGGGTTTAGGGTTCAGGGTTTAGGGAAAAGTAGTTTCCATTTTCTTTTCCATGCCCCCAATGTAACCACAATATACTATAGTAGTTTCCATTTTCTCTTCCATTCTCCCAATATAACCCCATATACAACCTTATATACCTTATATAACCCCTATGTAGCCCCATTATAGTAGTTTCCATTTTCTTTTCCATTCTCCCAATATAAGCCTATATAACCCTATTTTCTGTGGGACACCAGGGCGGCGCCTTGCGGCCCTCAGGTCACCGAAGGCGACCTTGTCGAGGCTGAGAGGCTTTTGGCAGCCTCTGCTGATGCCGCCTGGCCATCAAGCACAACAGAATCTTTGCTTCTTCGCGATGCTTTCGGAATGTTACCAATTTTGCTAGCAGAGGTGACCCCTGCACTGCATTTGGCGCTTCAGATCGGTGCAGCCCCAGAGGTGTGCTGTGGGTTGACCTGAGGCCGCCTTAATGCCTTGCTGCTTCGCCTGTGCCAGACCGTAGAGCTGCTGGCCGCCTGCTGCTCGCGGCTCAACGTCTGGCTGCCGGAGCCGGCCGTCGTGACGTGGGTAGGGGGCCCTGGTAGGAGACAATGGTTGGGATTATATTAGGATAATGGACAATAAAACGGAAACTACCATATTATAATGGGGTATATATGGGGGTAATATAGGGATATTGGTGGGGCCTACACAGGCTCCCATGATAACCGTCAGGCACGGGCGGCCTGTCGCGCAGCACTTGGCGGCCAAAGTCTTCGTGGTGCCACGGCCAAGCTGGATGCGCTGCTACTGGCAGGAGCAACTTCGAGAGATACTCCTGAAGCTATAACCCCAATATGTACCCTATTACAAAATAGTAGTTTCCATTTTCTTTTCCATTATTCCTATATAACCCCTATATAATCCCTATTACAAAATAGTAGTTTCCATTTTCTTTTCCATTATTCCCATATAATATTCTATTATACCCCATTATAGTAAGTAGTGCAATGGCCTGCCAGGCGCAGACGTGAACTCCATCGGAAGGGGGTGCGAGACGGCGCTGCATATTCTTGCACGAAGCTTCTTTGCAAGCAGGCTGCTTGCATGAGCGAAAAGGCAAGTTTGCACCTGCTGAGTGGATCTGGAAGAACAAGATTTTGTAGAACTTGAGATTGCTACCAAGCTGAGTAGTCTTGGCTTGCGCTTCTTCACCTAGACTGGAGCATGTTGTTTGTGCCAGCTCAGGAACTCTCCAGCTCTTGTGGCAGGCGCGGCGCGCGCTGCTGGCAAATCCTTTCATGATCTCAGCGCTCGAGCATCCAGACCTCCACAACTGCAGACAGCCTTGCTCTGCTCTGGCTGAGCAACGGGATTTTAGCAAAGTGGTTTTGAGACTGCTTAATCTGCTGAAGCTGCTCAAGGTGTCTTCAGCGACAACTAGAGTTCGGCAATTGAAGAGTGCCTGCATTTAGAATCTGGCAAAGAAGGCATCGGATCATGGCAATCTTGAAGCGAGACCGTTTGAAAACACAAAAAGGTATCAACAGCCTACTGCGGAGTTCAACATATTGCCAAAACCTGGAAAGCAGCAAAGCCCAGCCCGGCCCGTTTTGCAGCTGGAGAAGTCCATTGTTTTCGGTACTTACTCAGGATTTTCAAGCCTTGGGGTCAAGTATTGCCAAAATCTGAAGAGGCAGAAGACATGAAAGCACTTCTTTCCGCAAAATAATGCCAAAAAGAAGAGTTCCCAGGAAAAGCAGAGTGGGTTGAAGTTCTGGAAGCCCTCCAGGCCCAAGATCTGTAAATGCACCCTGAGGTTTTGATAGCTGTACCAAAACCTTAGAACCTGATGCGGTTACAAATTGGAGGTCTCCAGGCTCAAAACCTCCAGAACTTCAGTTTTCCGCAAACCTGTCAGGATTTGTTAGGTTGTACCTCAGAAACCAGCTTCTCCAGCTATGGGCCTGGAGGCCCACAAAGCTTTGACGAATTTCGTCAAAGTTTGCGTGACCTTTCCGCTGATCTCGGCCGCAGATACCCACGTCTCCTCAGGGAATCCCTAAACCCTAAAGCCTAAACCCCAAAATGTGGAATGTCTTGACGCTGCTGATCTTGGAAATGGAGGGGGTGAAGGTAGGGCGATGATGGGAGCTGGAGAACCTCAATGCGGTGGTGATGTTGATGGGGCAGGGAGGTTCAGGAAACCGCCCCAAGACAACAAGGGACACAAAGTTCATGAAGGGTGCGATCGTATCTGAGCAAGGCTTAGGTAGTTACTGGAGTAGAGGACCTGCCTAGCTGAATGCTGGTTCGAAAAGGGGCGAAGGGATGTTGAAAACCTGATAGGATCCACGAACCCGAATGCAGACACGTGACACGTACACTGCAATGATAATAACACCCCACGTGCGAAACCAATCGGGAGACTTAGGTCCCGGGTCATCCTCTCTGCCCTCTCCTCTCTTCTCTCTCCTCTCCTCTCTCCTCTCTCCTCTCTTTCCTTCTGCGCTTCGCGACGGAGTCCAAAAGTGACGACAGTTCTGCGTTTCGCAAGCACGACCCCCCCGATCCCCGTGACTGTTGACACTTTTAAGACGCAAAGACCAAACGCGAGTCCAAAAGTGACAACAGTTCTCCGTTTCGCGACCAGGACCCCTCGATCTCCGTGGCTGTTGACACTTTTGAGACGCGAAGATGTCCAAAAGTGACGACGGTTCTGATGTTTATGTGAAAGGGTGAGTGCTCCTCTTGTTCATCTTCATGGAAGATGGGAGGGCCTTTCTTGAGAGTACTTGAACGAGGCAAGCTTCCAGAAATTCTAGGACGGAAACGCAACTAGAGCGCCTATCGAAGAAAATTGGCCAGTTCCTCTTCCCAGTATCCTTGGTAGGAAATGCGAGAGTCCCTCTTGTCAGACGAGCAAGCAATTACGCAAGATCGCAGCAACAACCGCATCCTCACGTTCAGAAGAGCGTTGGACAAGTCTGGCCAGTTGCCTCTCCAGTCCTTAGTCTTGCCAGCTTGCCAACTCCTTGGCCTTCGACCCTACTTCGTAAGACAATGTCTCTGCCACAATTGCCGTAAAAAGTTTCAACACGCCATCCTTCAGTCGTCCTTGCCAAGCAAATCATTTGCATGCATGTTTTCGCAGCTGATGTCAGTCTAGGACCCTAGGCTGTGATAAACAGGAATCGCATCGATACGCGATGCACAGCAAGAGCCTCGCGCGTGAGGTTCAGGACCTCAGAGCACGCAAGATCGAACTCGCTTTGCCTTTGATGTTTGTGGTGCCAATTCTGATCTCTGGCTCGGTCTGCATGCGTGGAGCAGGGGTTTCATGCTTCTAGCTGCCCAGTGCAATCTCATACTGCAGTATACAACCTACCAGGAGCCATTGACGGCTCTGGGCTTCAATCAGTATGTGCCTGGTTTCAGAAAAGCCCCGAAGAGGGCTGGCACCCACCACTGTCTGACGCTTTGTGCATCCAGGAGACTCAACACGAGCTCCACAAGCTTTGGCATGACCTCGTTGCAAGAGGTAGCGCCAGCACTGTTGGTGTTAAAGCTTGGATGGACGTGCTTGCTGCAAGCAGACGCCCAGAGCTGCGGGTGTCACAACTCCAACCCTGTTTGCCGTGCCCTGTGGACACGCGGAGGCAAATGTTCAAACTAGAAGCAAACCCCTCTCGGGGAACAACAACCAAGGCCTCGATCCCATCTAGGGGTAGCAAGCAGCAAGGAAGCCTCCCTTACTCACACATGCTACTCCACACTTGGTGCTGGTCTGCCGCTGCTCTGTTTTTCACCGGCACGGGCCAGCGGGAGGACACGTTGGGAAGCTGTTGGTCGTTCCTTGAGCTCGCATGAAGCATGCTTTTCGAATCTTGTGTGGGACAGGTGCTGATTCGAGCATGGCGGATGGAGAAAGTTGTTCAGCACTGGAAAGGCAGGCAGTATCTGCAAGTTGCCCCATCAGCACCAACAACTGCTCGGCAGGCTGTCTGCATCGCAATGTACGGACCTCCTTGTCTCGAAGAGGAGGACGTATGCCATGCGACGCTATCATCACGCCAGGCTGGGCGCAGGGAAGAGAGTTGAAGCAGGATGGCAAGCGAGCACCGAGTGCTTCATGGTTCCTATGTACCACTGTATTCGCTGTGTCTGAACATGTTAGCATGCACACCGCTTGCTGTCTATGCAATTCCAGGACTCCAGCCAACAAAGAGATGAAAGAGTTGTTACCAACAATTTTGTATATTCGCCGCTACTGCTTCAGCGACACCCTGGCAGAAGTCTGAACGTAATGCAGACTTGCTTGAGAGAGCAGTGAGCAGGGGGCCAAGCCATCGGCCGACAGAACTGAAAAACTGCTCTATGCTCCGACATCCTTCCTTGCCTTCCAATGGCCTTTCGTCGCAAGTGCCGCGAGGGTTTGCTGCGACAGCTTGGGAGCCGTGGCAGCGGCGGCTTCTCGCTGCGACAGCTCAGAGCAGGTTTGATCGAGTGGGTCCATTAACGCTGAGTACTGCAGCAGCCGCGGCGTGCCTGGCAGCAGCTGCAGGGCCCGGGAGACCAAGACAGGCAAGGCCCATAAAGCCTGGCCGATCCACGCGTCTATCGTGTGTGGTGCGGTCAGCAGCCTGGCGGGACTGGGCTGAGCAGCTTGGCATCGAGGCGCACAAGGCTGGGAGCTGCTGGGAGCTGGGACGCTTCATGTTGCTTGGTTCCTGTGCTGATCACGGCGCATGGAGGTGGAGCTCACTACTTTGAAAGATGCATTTGGCAACAACTTGCGGGGGACCCCGCCCTAGCTGAGATTGGGAGGGACCAAGTCACAGTGAAGGTAAGATGTATGCAAAGATGAGTTCTTGGCTTCAGGATGATTGCGACAAGCAGCATTAACACGGACGAGGCGTGGAGCCACTGAGAGGTCTCGCATGGTTCAGGCCTTCCTATGTTTGGGCAGGCAATCATCACGGTCCCAGCGAAACGAGCACTTCAGGCTGAGCTCGCGTTTCGCCAGAGCAGCATAGACACCTTTGACACATCGCAACTAAGTCAGGTTACTACCGGCGGGTCCTGCCCTGCTGGTGATGATTTCGCAGCAGTCGAGGTGCAGCAGGGATTGCTCCAACTCTGCAAGCCTCACTCGCTGCAGGACTGGCAGCAGCTACCTTGGTGGGCGCAACTTGCAATGCTGGTCTTGCGTGAGGCCAGCACAGAATGCAGCAGCAGATGCTAGCAAGAAGACAATCAAGAACTTGGTTCCTAGCTGCGCCGCAGGCCAAAGCAGGAGAAAGATCGTTTCTGAAGGATTGGGTCGCCAGTTTGCCCCGCGATTTTCCGGACTCTTCTTCTGCCAAATGGATTTTTTTCTTCAGTTGCGAACTCTTGGATCTTCTTTGTTGTATTGGGAATTATGGGGATGTGTTGCATAGAGCTGCTAACAGTAGTCCTTTGCTTGCAACACAAGAGTCTCCTTGTGCAGCTCAGGAAATTCCAATGAATTGGAGCGAGGATGAGCTGGGGCTTCTGGAATACCCTCCCATCCATCAGCAGAGCATTGTCTGCTAATGGGCAGTATCGGTATGCAGCTGGCTGTACGTTATTTTTGTAGGGCACTGCCTTGCAGTAAGACCGCCTGCGTATCAGCAATCAGAACAATTGCATGAGTGCATGTGATCGCAGTGACCAGTCACGAAAATCTCTTGCTCCCAGGATTGAGAAGCAGCGCCTTGAGCTGCAGGAGGCATTTCAGAAGGCGCAGAGCTGCCGCTTGGACTTTTCCGAGGCCCCATGCAAGGAATTTCACGTCAGCAACTTGACGGTGAGGGTCGTGCCGCTGTTGCTGTGGATGTAACTTTGCTTCGGCCCCAGGCCGAACATTCAAGAGCTCCATATTAAGTAGGGTGAGACTATAAGAAAGGGTATGTAAAGGGTATATAGGGATAATGGGTTCTTACATATTGGGTATAGAATGCATATTGCTCGATGCGTCGTGAGATTCTTGCCGCGAGGCGGAGTTCCGGTGGGCCGTCCAAGTGGTCCGTAGCCGTGCCTTCAGCGGCCCCTACGAAGGCCGCAACGCCAAGGTCGCGGCCGTAATGATCATGCTTGGCTTGTTCATGCTTGGCTTGCTCCGAGAAAACCCTTTGAAAGAACTCACCTGTTCCGTCCTGTTCCAATCTCCAGCTTAATCTCGCTTCATTTGTCCATTCTTACTGTAGCGTTTTGAATCCTGAATGCAGCGTGCTCCAGCACACCTCGCTGGAGGCCTTCGACGTATTTGTTCTCGCGTGATCGCACTGATAAGAACGCGGCAAACACAGAATGTACATGCTGCTCACAGTCAGGGAAACAAGTGTCCAAGGATAGGATAGGCTTTGCAGATTTGATAAAGGTAGGAATCTGGTGGGTCGGATTGCTTTCCGATGTGAGGCTTAGGACTGATGATTGATATGACAGTAAGTTTTGAATCCTCATTGCCCTTCCTGCAAGTGCAACTTCAAGCAGGATAGGTTGGCCCAGCTGGCGTTCACGGCCGCCCTGCGGACGCCCTAGTCATTGCGTGCAGCAGTCTGCGTTTCGGATCGAGTCGTGACTGCAGCCCTATCAAGCAGGGCGTTGTCAATGAACTCAAATTTTCCTGCAAGGGCCGGCGTCGCCGTTGCCTCGGGGGCGCTCTCACTGGAGGCGAGCCTCAACGGTGCCCTGGCAGCGGCGCTGGCCATTCCTCTGCAGGCCGTGCTCCCCACCTTGTCGCAGCTTGTCGCTGAACTCTTCGCTTGTCAGCTTGCCGTCTTTTGTTGAAGTTCAAAGTTGCTGAGACAGTGAAAGATGACAGGGCTTCGGCTGTAGGAAAAGACGGACATGGCCTCTGCAATTCATAGGTGTTCCTGTAAGCATCTTGTCGGATGTTTTCGCAACAGGATGGATCGCGGCTTGGGAATTTCGACATCTGAAAATCATGCGGGTGTCCATGACGTGCTGTTCGAGTGAAGAAGCAACGCAGACAATCAGAAGACTTTTGAAGCAGATTCGGTGGTTTCCATAATTAGGGGGATCCCAGATCCAACATATCATTCTTATTCTAGGGACTCCCAGAAAGGTGCCCCAAATTTTGGGAAGCCTCATTTGAATAGCACTCGCAGGCCTGTTGTCCGAGAGGATCCCAAAAAAGAAGGATCAAACAGAGAGGAATGGACATGGACAGTAGGAGTTTAGACTACAGCTCTTTGGCGGCAGGACTTTCTCGTTGGACAGCCTCCAAGCTGCAAAGACTTTGCATATTTAGGGTTTACTGTAGGGGGGAGGGTTGAAGCAGGAAAAAGTTCCAGATGAATCCTCCAGTGGATTAGTAATGGTAATAGTAAGAGTAACAGAGTAAGAGTAAGAGTCAGAGTAAGAGAAAGAGTAAGAGAAGAGTAAGAGTAAGAGTCTGAGATGCAGTGGGACGTGTCTACGGGTAGCGCAGCGAGCCTCCTGGGTCAGACCAATGTGGCGAACACAATGGCCCTATCCAGATGGAATCTTCCAAGGACGTCGGAACTGAAGAGACACGTGGTGTGTCCCGTCGTGGACTACCTCAACCATGTGCCTTGCTGAAATGCAGTCAAGGTTTTTTTTGTAGAGCTTCAACCCTGTCCTAGAAGATGTGAGGTGCATAGTTGATATGTTTCGCAGCCATCACAACATCCCAGTTTCCCAGCATGGTAAATCATGACGAGAGCTTTACGATAGCTGCAAGGCTTTCGCGTTGAAAGCAACAGTGTGTCTCAAACTAGGACAGCAATGCCATCTCCGATATTGCATATGCCTCCGCCTGAGTCTACCATGTGCCAGTCTGCTCAGGGGCAAGATAGCATGTAAGCATCTACACGTCTTTCGTGGAGAGCACCCCCAAACATGGCAAGATGCCAATCCGCTGGAAAGCAATTTCAAAACGGCATATTCAGTGCAGCGCATCTCCGAGGAGTACTTCGGCAACATGTTCGCTGTGCGGGTCAACGGTGCCTTTGAGGATGCACAGGGTGGCAAGTTTAAGTGCCTCTTGTCATGATTCTGCAGGACGGCGAAGAGGTCTGTATCAATTATGGAGAGAAGCGGAGCAATGACACCCTGCTCCAGTTCTACGGCTTTGTTGAGAGGCGTTGTCGGGATGTCCGCAATGTCACAGCTCAGTTTGGGCGTGCTTATGTCATTTTCCTTGATTCCATTGGCAAGCTATTGTTACTTTGTTGGAGGGACAATGCCAACGACACCTACACGGTGGACCTGCTGCAGCACCTTGATGAAGAGGCAGCAGCGAATGGCCAGAAATTGGAGGCCCTTGCTCTGTTTCTGAGTACCCTGAAAAATGCAGTCGCTACTTGAAGCTCTCAAAGCTTTGCAGTTCCTCTGCTGGGTGGTTGTTGCCTGTGAATCATTGAAGCAAGGTGCGGCTGTCACGCACCGGCCCGGACGATGAGTCTTTGGAGAGGCAGTCTGCCAAAGCCAAACAAGCAGCACGCGAAAGCAAATTGCAAAGGTATTGCACTATATCCTACCTGTCCCAAATCGCACTTAGCTCTGCTTAGCTTCCTGCATGTCTTTCCGAGTATTCGTCTTGATGATGACGGCATGACTTTCGTAAAACAAGGCACCGATAAGACTCGCAGCTGAAGACATAGTTGTAGCAAGAACAATGAAAACTCACAATACGGTCCGCTTGGCTCTGACAAAGAGAACGTAAGACAACTGCAGAGAGCCAGCTAAGAACAAGGGGAGAACTAGCGCCCTGGTTTCACACAGCTTGGGAGATTCTTCGGTTCTGGCATTGGCATTTCCCATCAACTTGGGACGGATTCCAAATCGTCGTAACACATGGGCCCATAGGGATGTCCTAAGCCAATATACTGTAGTAGTTTCCATTTTCATTATCCCAGTAGAACCCTATATAACCCTGATATATGCCCCTATATAACCCCAAATATAGTAGTTTCCATTTTCTTTTCCATAATGAGACTAGGACGCCTGTACTGCTGGGACTAAGTGCGCCAGCCCAGGGGTCTTAGGGTTTAGGATTTAGGGTTTAGGGTTTAGGGGCTTAGGGTTGAGGGTTTAGGGGTTTAGGGTTTAGGAATTAGGGTCCAGTGCGAAAGACACTGGAGGAGCCCCAGCTCCTCTCAGCCTTTGGACGCGTTGATTCAGTATATTGGCTGATGGAAAAGAAAATGGAAACTACAGGGATTATAGGGGTTATATAGGGGTTATATATTGGGATAATGGGAAATAACATGGAAACTACTATAGGGTTTAGGGTTTAGGAACAATAGTTAGTGTATTTAATGTTGGCAACATGTTGAAGCAGGCACCCTGGCGGACGGCTAAGCAAACAGTGTCTAGAGAAATGATAGTGTGGCAGAAGGCCCGTGTCTGGAAGCTTCACAGAAGCATAGGAGCATAAACAGGTCTGGCTCATGAGTGCTACTGTTGATGGAGGAAATCTTGCACCACCTTAAGTCCCTGAAGTCCTAGGATTTACAATAGTTTAGGGCCCCTGGCTGGTGCAAGATTTCATCCATTAACAGTATCTTGTGTGGGTGTAGCGCTTTCAAGCTGACTGTGCCATCGAGGCTGCTCTCGCTGCTTGCTGATGGCAGAGCCCCTGGTCCAAACGAAGAAGCCATGGCTTGGAAGGTTGGGCCATGTTGTGGCACTATTATTATTATTATTGTTATTGTCATTGTTATTGTTATCCTTATTATCACTTTTTCCTAGGATTATTAGTATCAGTAATGTTGGGGCAGGCGCGTCATCTTTTCGCAATTCTGCTGTTTGCCAGGCTGTGGCAATCGCCTGCGAAGCTGAGCTGCAGCGGCGCAGTGCTGGAGCGGCTCACCAGCTGGAGATGGCAGGCATTGGCAGGCAAAACAAGATGGTAATTTCCCAAAATTAGGGGTACCTTTTTGGGGGTCCCCATAATAAGGATTATGGTATTCTGGGGTCTATATTGGGTCCCCTTATTTAGGGAAACTACCAGATCCTTCAAAGGACATCTCTGCGTGGCCTTGTTGTTCTTGAGGCACCGGTGTTCGTGCGCTGGCATCGCGTTTTGCCATAGAGAAAGAAAAAGCGCCTTGGTATTCAACAGGATGCACCCAAACAATTCGCGGTGCGAAGTCTGCCATGCGGAGTGGACGTAGCGCATGATTACCAACAGAATTGAGAGCCGTTTGTCAAGGTGCTGCTCGCATGTCGAGCACATGCAGAATCAAGGCCAGGTTTACTCCCAACGCTGATCACGGTTGAAGTCATCTGTGCTAGTATTGCAACTCCTTTCGTGGCACCTGCTATTGCAAAGGGAGGGACACGAAATAGTTTCACGAACGTCTTGTGCTGTGCAGCCATTATGTTCAGAGAAGGCTTGGGTAGTTATGGCCAGCGGCATGCACCGCGCTGGTCGCCGCTCTCCATCACCGCGAGGGGGCCCAAGGTCGCGATATGCGCGAGAAGACAATCGGTATGATGCGCACGAAGTGCCCTTGCCGGGGGCGCATGCTCCGTCTTTCACACTGCAGCCGCAGGCTGTCAGTTCCAGACATTGCTTCGCTGCAGGTGCAGTTCGTGGCACGTTGCTAAGCATCAGCGGAGGAAGCTTGTTCGAAAGCAGTGCAGAGAGCCATCAGCAGATACAGTTGGGTCCGCGTCCAAGGCCATTGACATGCATTGCAGGGTCTCCCTGTGGCAAATGGTGGGCCATTGGCGAATCGTGCTTTGGGGGACGGTCTGGACAAGTCATCATCATGAGCGGTGAAAGCAAGGAAGTCATTGCCGTGATGCCCGTGGGCGTCCGCCGAACTGCACGCCATTTGTGCTGGGCAGCTCAAGGTGAACTCGTCGCTGCAATCGTGGAATTTGAGAGCGAACATGCTGGGGCAGCTGACCAGCAGCTCATGGTGTGGTCATGGCCCTCAGGTGAGCGCCTAGCAACCTCAACCTGCGGTCGGGGTACACAAGATATGGCTGGCTCACCTGATGGAGCTGTGCTGCTAACTGTGGGATCTTATGGCGCAAAGGTTTGGACCCTGATCCGGTCGCATGACTCCGTCACTGGCAGAGCCACTGGTGGAATCAAGCTCAGTTGTGGAGGTGGCTTCCTGCCCCTGAGACTACTGGGCCGCTCCCTTCCTATTGGGCCTGTGGGGCCCAGTGCGCCACCAAGCGCTCGCAACATTGCGGGCACAGCTGCAGGTCGCAGGCGGCCGGCTGAAGATGCACTGGTCGCTGTGGCCTTCGGCCTCTCATTCTGAGCATGAGCATCTTTTACTGTGTCAGGCTCGGTAGTGCCTGCTCCATTCCTGCAAGATGCTGGAGACTCACGAAGCCATACTTTGATGAAGCCAGCTTGTGAACTCAGGTGCAGAAAGCGCTCTCTTCCTGGCCACCAAGCATGGTGGCCTCGGTGTCACTTTCTGCGAATCAACCAGCAAGGCTGCGAAATGTTTTGAAATATCAATAGGATCCCAACACCATCAATTCTATCACAGTCCAGGCCCCTCTTTGGCGCGACCTCGGCCGCCGTCTCGGAGCTCTTTGCTGGTCTCGCCAACTGCTCGGTGCTGCGCCGTCTGGCGGGGCTGCTTGGCTGCCTGGTCTTTGCAGCGCACCTTCCTACACGGGGTGTTGGGAACCGCCTCCTCCTCTTCCAGCTGCTCCTGTGGCTCCTCCTCGTCCTCCACTGGTTCTGTCCATGCTCCTCCCGCCTCTCCCACTTTTGTCTATGCGTGACCATCCTCCTCCTCCTCTGATGCTGCCGCTGCTAGCGCTACCTTCCCTGCAGTCTGCTTTGTCAGACTTGAGCCTCCTGGATGACCTGGGTGCACAGCCACTGTCCGTCTGGGAAGCCAAATGAGCAACGAGCTAGAACGAGCAGTTGCGCCAATCACGCAAACTCCATTCCTACAGCAGCAACTTTCAGGCTGGGCTGTGCACTCCAGGTTGGGGAGAGACACCTTTTAAGGGTTGTGTTGTTTGAAAGGCCCCAATGGAAAATGTCAAAGGTGCTGGCTGTTGCTGCCTCACAGTAATGTTGCCAAACTTCATACCTAAGGTACTGGCCTGTGCGCTGGCAGGCGCCCTCTATTAAGCTGCAATGTTTGTGAAGACCTTGCTATGCTTTTTTTTGATCTGACTGGATTCAGCGAAGTTGTGCTGCTAGGTGGCATCGTGGACGTATTGGATGCATCCAGTATGACTACCATCTTCAAGCTGGATGCTTGTGCTGGAGCTCGACCAGATGCCGTTGGCCTTGCTAGCAATCCCCTGACGGATGGCTTGTGGGTCCTGTATTCGGATAGGTCCTTGTCCTATTTTGCAGATAGTGCTGTGGCATCCTGGACGCTACCTGGTGCAGTCTGTGACCTGCGTGCAGCCCACACGTTGCCGGGAAACATCCTGACAAGGGTTGTGTCCTACTCCAGCTGGAGTGTGCAACTTTGGACACGGCTGCTCCATGGAGACCTGCGACTGGAAGCACAAACCGAGCCTGTCGCAACACACGGTTGCGAGTTGACAGCTTTGGCCGTTTCGCCCTGGCTTGTAGCCTGCGGCCATGCAAATGGGGAGGTCAAGCTGCTCGCAGCCCTCCATGGTCTAAGTGAGCTCGGACCCATGCCATCCAAGCACGGAGCAGAAGTCTCGGCACTTAGCTTTGGACACTGGAAGCCCGCATCTCTTCGACCTGTTCTGTTAGCTTCTGTCTCACAAGATCGCAGTGCCTTCATCTTCAGCATAGATCTTCAGCAGGGCAGCAGTGGCATCGAGTCCAGTAGAGCAAGCCTCCTTCTTCACCTACAGCATCACTCGTCGCCGGTGCAACATGTTGCGCTTTTGACTGACCTCAGCACCATGCCTTCTGGCAGCGAGGTCTTCCGTGTAGTTGTTTGTACATCTGATCAGCTGATCTGGCGAGAAGCTGAGTGCACAGAAAGCCAGACCAGCGTGCACAAATGTGCGCGGCAGCAGGCCGCACGTGGCTCACGCTGGGTTGGTATTTGCACAGACGCGGCGCGGGGCTTTTTCTATGCTGCATGCAGCAGTCGACGAGTGCTGCAGCTGGACCAAGCCGGCCGCCGCACACATGAAGTATGCATCGGTGCAAGCAACGTCGAGATTGTCGGTCCGATTCAGCTTAGCAATGATGGGAGGTTTCTGGCCACAGCCCTCAAGGGTGCAGCAGGAATTCTGTTGTTTTCCGCTGAGAACAGCCTGCAGCCGCTTGCTCGACTGGCAGCTGGGCATGCTGAACCACCCAAAGGAGTTACCTTCTTGCCGGGTGATCGAATCATTGCGTGCTGGACAGATGGCACCTTGCTGAGCTGGAAAGCTCCAGAGAAACAAATAGCCCGCGGGCTTGCCACAACTGAAAACCAGCCAGAAGAAGCCGCAAGACGCGGAGTGTCGCCAAGAGACACGTGCATTGTATCTGCCAGAAGTCTCAAACTTCGGCCAGCCAGTGGGAGTCCACCACGCAGGCGCAGTGGCAGCGGCAGCAGCAGCGTTGTTCTGCGATCGAGTTCCAGCGCGCTGGCTCCTCGAAAGCGAGCCCCCCTCTCTGCTCGAAGTCTGGTCACAACCTCTGCAAGCCTGACGGCCGGAAGCCAACCAATGAAGGCGGCAAGACCAAGCATGGGTGATGCAGAGAGGCAGCGCATCAAGGAATCCATCAAGCAACAGATTCAAGGCAGCGCAAGGCAGGACTTCAAGAAAGATGGTCGAGCTCCAGCGCCAAATCAAGCAGTTGCGGCCCCTCGCGTGGACGGCTTGCGGGAGCTTCGCCGCTTGTTGGCATCGTCACCAAGCCCTCCACGCTGGGCCGAGACATCAATTCTCGACGACCCCCCTGCTGAGCATGCACAGCAGGAGACCGAGCCACTGGGAAAGTGGGCTCGTGGCAGTTTGGTTGGAGCTCAAGTTCGCTCTGCCTCTGACCTACATCGCGTCGGCCCACGAGAAGAGCTGCTGGAACACGAGGAGGTGCAAGTGCGATGTGCATCTGAAGGAGCCCAAAAACGTTGTCAAGGCTCCTTGAAGCGACAGCTCTTTTGCACCTGCGGCAAGTGTGCTACAGGCCGTCCCTTGCAGCCACTGCCGCCAAAGCCAGTGTTTGCTCCACCCGGCCAAGCTCCGCCTGGCTTGTGCCCTGACGCTGAAATCAGTGCCATTTCGACAAGCAGTGCGGCCCCCACAGTGGCATCTGTGGTGGAGCATCCAGCAAGCGCAAGCAGCAGACCTTCCAAGCTGCATAATCTACAGCTTTGCTCTTTGCCCACTCCTTGTCGGGGACGACCAGACCAAGCAGTCCTAAAAAGCCCCAGATCCGAGCTAGAGGACTTGGTTGACACGGTTGTCACCTTGAAGACGCGGCTGTCTTCCATCCAGCCTGACCGGCTGCCACCCCAGGAAGCAAGCTTGCTTCTGGAGCCGCTCCAGAAGTTTGAGTTTTTGCTGCGTTCACAGATGAAGAGCAAGTGAGCGACAGATTCATAGCATCTGCTCTGTGTCTTCTTGCGCAAGCAAAGTAACTTGTGCCCCCCGGATGCAAAAGATTCAGTAATTGAAACATGCCTTAATTCACCTCAGTCGTCAGTCGCTTTGGAGCAAAGCTCCGTACCCGGCGACAGGGTTACAGCCCTCCATGCAGATCTCGATAAGTTGTTCTTTAATTCATACTGTGCAAAGTGCGATTGTGGCAACTCTCTGTATAGTTATGGTCAAGACAGAACCAGTGCAAGCAATAAGCAGAATGCTGGTTTCTAGCTTGCATGCCATGGCAGATGCTCAGCCAGCTTCTACAAACAAGCCACACTGACAGGTGTCGACCCGCCACGGCCGCGCCCCTGTCCTTGCTGAGCCGAGCGACAATTGTACCCAGCTTTCAGGACTGGTAGACAGGCATGTGATGCCAGCCCTTCTCGACCTGTGTGGTCTGGTTGGAGTTTGGGAGTTCAAGATTCGGCCTTGGCATGTTCCCTATGCCAGCTCGCCTGTGGCTGCAGGACGCTGAGACTTGGAAGCACGACTGGGCCCATGGGATCTTCACAGCATCTGACCTGGCGGCCCTGCGCAGTGAAGGTGCTGTCCGTTGCAAAAGCTCTGCGCGTCGTTCCAGCTTTGATGGCGCGTGTTCTGGAGGTTTCGTGGTACTACCGGCGGCATTCGATGCAAGTCTTGCTTCCACATGTCGGGAGGAGCCTTGCAGGGAGGAGTTTAGGAAGCAATTTACGTCACACTCCCTGGTCTGGTAAGGAGTGTGAAAAGCTGGACACTGTGGCAACGACGGTCACAACGAACCGTTGCAATCGAGGGCACTTTGCTGAGCATGCGAGTATTGTGCGGGTAATGTGACATCGTGGTTTCATGACATTCTGATAGCCTTGTCATGGCATCATGCTTCGCCAGAATCAACCAGGTCGAGGTCTGCTTGGCTCGACTTTGGCTATGCCGAGGCGACGTGCTACTCTGGGTTTGTTAGCATGCCCTGAGAGTCCTCCAGATCTGTCAGGGCTTGGCCGAGCTGGAGGAGCGTCTCCCCGCGCTGACCCGCCTTGGGCGGATGCTTGCCGGTCGGAATCTGAAGGGTCCTTGATTCTACTGAGCCTGATTTTCGGCTGACATGCAGAATTATGGTGCCTTACAGGGCTGCCGGCTCATGTGCATGGACTTGGCGGTTTTGGCGAGGCTGGGAAGAGAGATTAGTGTCAGACTGAATCTGGGTCGAGTATAGAACCACTGCCAACCGCTGCCAAGAACGAATCCGGCAAATTGCCAGGCCCTCCAGGTCCATCCTGCGGCGATGACACCTGGCAATAATCAAAGTTTTGCAAGATATGTCCAGCTTGCAAATGCTCCTCCACAAGATATCTTGCTTCTTCATGCTTCGTGACGAGTTCAGCTTCTGCTCTGGGCCAGGATTGCGGTCTATCCAGAGCAGGCAGCGACATACGCCTTACACAAGGAGCTATGGCTGCTTCAACCGAAATTTAAAGATCCATGTAGAGCAGCCACCACCGACAGCAGAGTCCATCCCTCGTGGTGTCAGGACTCGTACGCGCCAGCTGACAACGACCCGGCCACTGGTGCAACACGACGGCTTACAATCCTCGCGTACTTGAATGTCACTCAGTGGCAATGAGCTTGGGATTGGCACTAGTGTTTTGGGGCTCACAAGCCAAGGGGTATGTGTTTTTTGTTCATCGCATGCAGAGGGCAGCAATCCAGGTTGTGCGCCGGTTCCATGCTTTTGTGCTGCTTATACGCTGTCATGTTCATTTCATGACTATGCTCATGCTCATCGAGGACGCTACCCTAATTCTCCCAATTCTTGTTTTCAGGGCTTTGCCAGTGCTGATGCAGGGCATCATGCACCAATTGGAATGCAAAAATTGCGGCAGCTGCCAGTTTTGGAGGAATCTAGGGCTGTTGACCTTCAAGAACTGCATCATCCGCTCTAGGACTGGCGTGAGGGGCACGGCGGCGAGCTGCGCCTCCACTCGGGCAAGGAGAAGCCGGACCCCAGGCAGAGCACTCCACAGCCCAGTACTTGGAATTCCTTAAAAGGCCTTCGTGCTTGTGTTTGTCGCTATGCCCTAGACCCTGCTAATCTTCGCGGGCCTCTTCAAGACCGACCACTATATGGCTGCGCAGGGTTTTGCAGGTTTTTAGGGTTTAGCCGAAAGTCATGATGAAACGACACCCAAAGGTGACAACAATGATTATGGCGTTCCGTTAAATTCTATTTATTCGTATTTGCCAAGATAAGCAACCTCAACAGCTATTTAAAGAAGACTTAAAGAGAAGACGCCTTAGTGCATTAAGGTAGAAATGAAGTTATTCAATCACAATGGTTGTATCATCTGTGATACTTTACAACCAAGAACAAAAATGATATTTGAAACATCATTCCCTCATTGTATCTTAAATAAGCTATGTTCTTTCAATTGTTGCTTTCAATGTAGTAGAATGCGTAAGTATGAAGAAGGTGTGAAGCCTCTAAATATTAGCGACATTGTAAACAGCTTAAACTATACAAAACCATGAATGTTAGTTTGTTTGATTTACAAAAAAGCAAAGTACAACATTTTTTTTAAAAACAACAACAATGACAGTGAAAACCCTTCGAAAAGACAAATGGCATGTTTTTGGATATGACAATTATATGCACCTGGTTTCAATATCGCGCTGTTTTTGATATCAAGAAATGTATGAAGGAAGTTCTAAACAATAAAATCATTTTAGACCAAATGTTCTTGTATTATAGAAAGCAATATTCTGAAATGGTATTAATGAAAATGATACTTGATGAATAGATTCTTGATTTAAGGAATACACATATTAACTATATCCACATAGGTGACATGCACATCTATTTGGATGAAATACTAATAGAGATTGAATTTTCAGACGATGATTACATGAATAAGCAACCAGAAAATTATTTGCTATCAAATATGAATGGTTGAAACCACCAAAGGCACCAACTCTTGAAACAACAAACGAAACATGAAGGTGAACTAACTTAGGTATCTCAAAACTAGGCAAGACCTGAAATTCCGGAAAAAATGACGAATAAGATTCAACAGTTAACATAATTGAAGTTTAGTTCTTGCAAATCTGAGAAAACGTATGAGTTAAGCAAGTACTTAGATCCCGAATGGATGAAGAACACATAAGGTAAGAACAATATGAGATAAATGCGGCAGAACAGTTTGAATCTGAAAAAACCATGCTTTTTCTTGAAACGAATAAGGTAAGCAATGCAAAAAACGGAAAATTCTGAGGTATTGAAAATTCGGACAATAATGAATAAGGTACTAAGATTGAACATGAGAAATCAGGAAAAGGTGTTTTCAACATGTGAGCTTGGAGAACTTAAGGATTTCACAACGAAGAAGGCAAGACATGATGCCCCAGAGAAAAATGACAAATGACACAAGGCAGAAAACAGAGAACGGAAGTGAGCTGAAGAAAAGCGAAACAGGGCACGAAGAAATGGGAATGAACAGGGCACGAAGAAATGGGAATGAACAAGGTAAGGAAGCAAGAAGAAACAGATAAGGCAACACATACCCCAGACCCTGAAGCATAGCCTGAGAATCCGCATTTTCCCTATTTTCTCCCCGCCACGGAGTTGCAATTGGTGTCAGGCGGTTCCAGAGTGTGGAGCCCAAGGCCTCGGAATTCTTGAAAGGAGTCCTTGAGCATGTGAGCTATAATCTAAACTCCTTAAAGGGGGTTATATAGGGGATTATATAGGGGACTACTATAGGGTATATTAAGGGGGATGCTAGGAGTTTAGACTATGGCTCATGTCGAGTCAGAAGCAAAGTGTCATTGGATAAACCATATATATTGGGGTAATATTGGGGTAATGGAAAGGAAAATGGAAACTACTGTAGTACATTGGGGTTACATTGGGAGAATGGAAAAGAAAATGGAAACTACTAAAGTATATTGGAGTAATCGTGGGATAGTGGACAGCTTTAGTCGGCCCAGACCTGTCAAGCGTGCCAGCCAACACTGATTCACGCATGCAGCAGCTTGGCATCAGCTCGTTCATGTCCGCGTGCCTTTTGCGATATGTTCAGGCTGGCACTGTGGTGGTCTTTGACAGCCGTAGGGTGTGGCAGCTTGGCTTCAGGTCCATAGCCAATCCAGAAACATCCATAGCATCCATGTTGCAACTTTCAAGACTGGCGTACTATGGCTCGTGAGCCGGACCTGAAATTTCCCCAACACCCGGAAATGCAACTGGACACTCTTCATCTTGATAATCAGAGTTAGACCTAAGACGATTCAGAGTTGCGGAGCTATGTAGCTTGTCAGAGACATCCAAAGCGAAGTGACGCTCTAAGCAATAGTTCTGAGGTGCTGAGGCAGTGATCAAACCGTGTACTCAGGTCTACAGTCTCCCTAGTTGGACCCTTTTCAGGTCACAGGTAAGCCTTGTTCGAACCCACTACATACAAATGAAGGGGACATTTTGAAGCAATGCAAGCCTTGGGGAAGTCTGCCTTGTGTCGACTTACGATGGAGCATACTGTATACTGTCATGGCAGCAAGACAGACAAGGCATGCGGTGGCACCTTCCCTCTCTGGGAACCGCTGGGCCATGACGGTCTGGGTGCACTGATATAGCTGGACAACCTTGTGCCTAACAGAAGACGTTCCTAAAAGAACGGAGGTGTACCACAGCGGCACTCTAGGGAGCGCTTATCAGCTTGGCATGTTTAGCTTAGCCTCGTTCCTCACCTGGGCAAAAGCATCCCCAAAGAAATGGGAGGCAAGCGCAGGTGCATCATGGCTGGAGGAAAAGGAGCTGAGACCGCTCAGTGTGCTTTGACAGGTGAACCGTTTTTGCATTTGAGTATCTTATTTCTGTCTTCGCAGGCTGCGTGGCGAAGATCCTGCCTGCTGTTGGCTTGGCCGGCGACACAGCAATTCCTCTGAAAGAAGTTTGCCGCTTGAACGGGGCAAAGTGTTTCAAGACCCCCGACAATAATCATCCCCATGACGGTCATGGAGTACTCCAGCCGGAACTGCCGGCTCAGGTCCACCATGCGACAGCTGCCGCCAGGAGGTCCCCCTGCAGTTCTGATCGAGCTTATCAGTAGAAGTTTGACTCGTCGCAATTGCTGTAGTAGTAGTAGTAGTAGTAGTAGTAGGAGTAGCAGTAGCAGTAG